TTGCACTACCATCTCCCCCCCACCCCTCCCCGCTTAGGACCCTGAGATCATGACCTGAGCCAAAAACAAGATAAAACAGAAAATAAAAACATTTGCTTTTCTTTCCAGCAGCCCCGGCCTCCTGGCCAAGACAGGGCAGAAAAGGTAAGCGGGAGCCTGCGGGAGCCAGGAAGTACCCGCTCCCCCCCACCCCTCCCCGCCGCCCCGGCACCCCGGCCTCGAGGCCGCTGGGCTACGGTCCCGGGCGCGTCCTCGGGCCGGGCGGGCTCGGCATCCGAAAAGCTCTGGGGTCCGGAGGTGTTCTGGCCGCCGGCCTCCCCAGCAGAGGCTCCCGAGCTGCGTGGCCGCGCTCTCCCCTCGCTCACGCCACCCTTCCCACGGGGAGCGCCTCGCACAGGTGGCTGGAGAAGAAACTTGCCTCCCGCCGCATAGAAGCCCGCGCCCCGGGGGGGCGGAGGGGCTCCCTGACGCGCAGGTGCCTTTGGGGAAGGGGCGAAGGGGCGGGGCTTCTGGCTCCTCTCCCCAAGTGGGGCGGCTCTCTCCCGCCCCCGCCAACTGCCCCCCTCTCCGCCCCTGCCAAACTCACACGAAGGAACTCTTTTCAGGTCTGGGCCCGAGAAGGCCGCTCAGCTCTCCCTCCCACCTGAGCTAGTGTCTTCGGAAGAGTTTCTGGCTGGGCCTCGCGTCTTCCATTTGCTTAACTTGGGGTGGGGGACAGGAGGGGGGTGGGAAATCCGTGCCGAGCTCCAAAAAGTCCATCCTGAAATTGAACTGTATCTTTAAAAATATTCCCTCTGTGACAACCAAGCTGTTAGAAAGGTCTCCTTACACTTGAATGGCAAGACACAAACTGTGAATAGGAGGGATCATGAGGAGAAGGGGGAGCTCAGATGGGTTGCAGAAAATTGTGCTATATCACCGCACCTCTACCCATCTCCCTCATCCCCGCCCACTTAGTCTTTCCTAAAATGATGACAACTAGGTTGCATCTCTTCTGTGGAAGGGGGATTCTCCCATCATCTGAACACATGTTTAGAATCCACAAATGTTTACTTACTACTCACCTAAATTTCTAATATTTAGCTAAATCTTCACCAACTCATCCAACTTTATAGCACCTTTATTAGCAGCCCCCTAATTACTATTCCTGAGCACTCAGTGTTATAAACCAGTGCTCTATTTGGCCATTTCTTAACACTAAAAGTCGACAGAAAATACATTAAAATCGAATTGCAATCCAGAACTATTCCCTGGAAACTAAACTTAGCCAAGAATGAACATATCAGTCTCCAAAAAAAAAAAAAAAAATTGCTTTTACTTTTGAATACACAACTTTTTCTATCTGAGCTAAGAGAAGAAAGGGAAAAAAATAAAAACCCAACTAGCCAATGGCACATTAACCAACTTTTTGATTCAAGGTGTATCTGTTGGGACGCCTGGGTGGCTCAGTTGTTAAGCCTCTGCCTTCCGCTCAGGTCATGATCTCAGGGTCCTGGGATGGAGCCCTGCATGGGGCTCCCTGCTCAGCAGGGGAGTCTGCTTCTCCCTCTCCCACTCCCCCTGCTTGTGTTCCCTCTCTCTCTGTCTCTCTCTCTCTCTGTCAAATAAATAAAATCTTTAAAAAAAAAAAAAGTGCATCTGTTTGTAATTAGAGGTGTGCATGACAAAGGATGTACAATCCTAAACATTCTTCCACTCAGGTCATGATCTAATGCTCTTAGCACAGGTGATGTAAGACACTTCATTTTTCTGCTTTCCAACACAGACATTTTCAGAAATGCATTTATTTTGGAATGTAATACATAAAGTAGATAATCCTTGAAACAGCTTCACTGGTAATGAACAGACCATGAGTAACTTACAAATACTGACATCAGTGAAATAGTTCTGAATTGTTTTTTTAACTAAAACTAAATCAAGCAGAAGGTCTGTGGCTTTGTATAACTGACTCTATCCTAAAAGAGAGCTTCTGTGACAATTTCCTTGTCCCAGGCAAAAGGCCAAGTTCTTACTTTATTTAACCTATGGGGACTCTTCCATGGGAAAATGTTTAAAACTAAATGCCTTTTTTCCTATAGATCTATATAGGGGTCCTTGAGGCCAAGAGTTTATGTCTAGAAATAGAAGCAATGTACAGGGGATATCTCTAGACAGTTGCTAAGCAGGGTTATGTTTTAAGGTTCATTTGAGGCTTAAATGGAGTCACTTAATGTCTTTGGGCAGCACAAAGTAGAGAAGATTCTTCATTTGTAGAAAGCCTGTCTATCTTGAGAGTCAGAAGTCTGTTATAACACATGCAAAGAAAGTAAAACAGCCAAAACATAAGACTGTTACAACTGACTTACACTTTTAAAAAGTATTCAAGGTATAAGGATGTATCAGGTTATATTAGCCTATACTATGAAAAGAATAATTTAATTCCCCCTCACTTTATAATTACATATGCAAAATCCAGAATTCTCGACTTTTCCATTCTTGAGGTCAAAGTAAATATTTTAAGTAAGTTTTGCAATGATGTTCTTGACTGGTTGTTTAGATCTTAAGGGGCCTGGTTTTCCATCTCAACCTTTTGAGTGATCCCAATCTTTTTTTTTAAACATCTTTTGTATTGTACTTGGTAAATGCTGGAAATAAATTTTATGTGAAAAATCAAAGTCCCGTAGTTACATTTCAACAGACAAATGTACTATGTGTCCCATGGTAAGTTAAGTTGGCTAAACTATAAGATCAGAGATCTGGCACAAGTCTACTTTCTGCTTACTAGGAAGTGAATACACAAATCTGAAATGGAGTGGAGTGGGATCTACTGAGCTCTCCCACTGCCTATATCATGGGGTGAGGTCTCCATGGTAGATGCTAAAACACAGAGCAATGCAATGCTGAAGGAACTGAGTTCATACTCTAGAATTCCATAGTCAACTCACAACTGGCTCTTTAGCTGGTCTCTCTTTGTCCCCGCCCTAAGAGGAGCAAAGTTCCACCAGTAGCCAGACCCACCTTGGCATATTGATGCGCTTCAATTTTGCACCCATCCCTCATGACTAAGAATACATTGTATCATGCCTTCCTGATTCAATCTCACAACCATTTAATGAGGCATTCAATAACGCAGCTTCATAGTGGCTCTTAAGAAAATAAAGTCTGTAGAATTTATCATCCTTCACAAAAACCATAATTAGCCTCAAAAGGACACTCATCCGAGTGTCCATTCCACTGATGCCACATTTCCCGGAAGAGTCCTAAGTATGAAATTTTCTTCTGCCATTTCATGTACATATCTTGAGTAGGAACAAACAAAACACAGCTGAGCTTTTTAGGTGATGGAAGCCACCCCTTATAGAAAACTGCTCCAGCTAACAAGTACCTCTAAGAAACAGGAAAGTGACCATTACCAGTAGACATGCTGGCATGCTCTAAATTGCTAATCTTCATCAAGGCCACAATAAAAATAACTTCCTTGAACTCTTAATGCACGATGGGCACTGTTTAATGCAACCCCACCAGGGAGTCTTTATTATTACTTCCACTTACATTTGAAAAAATTGGAGGCAGGGTATCACCCACCTAATGGATGGCAAAGCCTGGATTCAAATCCAGACCATGGGATACAGAGTTCAACCTCTGACTCCCTGCCCCTCATTTTCTTCTGCAGGACTTCCAACTGTTGTTAAGGTCTTGACTCTCGATCCAGAGAGAGAAGAATATCCTTAGCATTTTTAGCCTGACTTGGGGAGGTGGAAAGAGGAAAAATTTGGAAAATTCTGAAAGAGCCGGAAAGAGAACTTTTAGAAGTTCTTCTTCCTAAAATTGTCTTCACTCCAGCACCATTTCCTTCCTGTTGAAGGTGACTAACTTGCACCCATCTATCTGGGATTGTCCTGGTTTTAATACTAAAATCGCTTAGGACTATCCCGGTTTTAAAGCTAAAGTCCTAGGTACCCCTTGGTCCTGGACCAACCAGGACAGTTGGTCACCCTATTTAATTCAGGATTGCTGGACCTCCTTACTTCATCAATATTTTCAAATTTTGCCTTCGAAGTTACAGATAGAAAAGTCAAACTTAGGCACATTACAAACCCACTTACATATTTGTTTGTGTCAATATGTTTTAAGGAAACAATCATCCTATTTCAATGCATAAGAAGATATGACAGAAACTGTCTTTGGGCTATAAGGGCATGGGTCAGATGATAGAATTTTAATTGCACTTTGATAAATTAGAGACTTTAGGTTCTCCTTTTGGTTTACTGTTTTTATAAAAATCTGGACTTCAGACATATGGGCTTTCTATGGATAAAGCACAATAAGTAAAGCACCTGCTATTTGATTAACTCTTACAGAATTAGATTATTCTTATGACTATATTTGGTGGTGGATTCAGTCATCAGGAATCCATATTTAAATGGATATAAGTAAAAATTCTAATGGTTTGGCTTGTTGAAGTTAAACTTGTGTGCATGATATGTTCTTCATGGAAAAGAAAAAAAAAACATAAACCATTAATGATGAAAAACTTACTGCAGAGATTTGGAAAGTAATAGTGCATTGTACCATAATTGCTAATGTACTTAGAGTTTAATACCGAATTAGTGTCATGCCTAATATCAGTTGAAATGAATTCTTATATTCCACAGCTTAAAAGGATGGCATGTTATTACAGAGCCTGAAGTAGTGTTCATGAAAACCCATGCACTGTCTGCCAAAAAGAACACTTCTCTGGACTCTTCAGGAAGCTGCCCATTTCCAAATAATGGAAGAAATGAAATGTTTTTAAGGAGAATGGAATTTGGGTTTCCATATTTTTTTCATGAATG